TCCAATCTATTGCAGCTACTGAGTATTATGACACATCTACTAGAATAACTAATAAAATCTTTGGGCAGTGTGTTTTTCGCCTGACAAGCGCGTCATGATTATAGTCAATTTTCGCTAATTCCTCTAATTATAAGCTATAATTTCATTTTGTATTTACTTAAATTTTTCGCGTTAAAAACATACAAAACCGTTTACTGTTTCAAATATGGCTGTTTTTGGATAGAGAGTAAGTTATAAATATGCCAGCAATTATATTTGCTTGAAATTTTACGTTTATGGGTATCATTAAATACTACATGCATGGTATATATAAACAAAAATGTATAAGAAAAGTGCGGGAAAGGATATATGTGTGCCAATTTATACGAATGCCTTGAAGGAGCACTTTTTTCTCATCATAGACATAGTGCAGATTTATTTTGCCACTATAAAATGAAACAAATATTTTATACATGTTTAATATTTTCATGTTTTTTAAGAACTGCAATTACATGCTGATCTCGGTTAAGGTCCTGTAACACTATTGCGTATGAGAGAAACGTATGAGTAGCATAAACCATGCATGTGCATGCATACGTCCGCATACTCGAAAAATTTTTAACCATGCTTACCTTGCATGGTTCCCCGATTTTTAAATAGACACCTTACGATTTAGGACAGCAACGGCTAGAAATACAATAAATAATTAAAAAGAATTCAATAATTGCAACATATGAATGATTTAGAGATTGTCCTCGCTTTGTTTACAACGCCAAATCACAGATTTTCACGTCTTCATACAACGGCTGCATTTCAAGCTGCAACCTGAGTGCAACTTCAAACTGGCTTCAGCAGAACTCTTCCCAAACATAAAACCCATTAAATTCATACGATTGTATTAAATTCATACGATTGCTAATATACCACGAATTGTCATTAGGCCACTATTTGCTGCATATTAGTTTCGCATCCCCGCCGGCATGTTTTTTTTTAAGAAAATGGCCTTGTTCGCCATTATTATTGCCATTTTTGACCATTATTATAAATTTTGTGATGTCTTCAAAGTGAAATTTGAAAGAAAGACAATTAGAAACGTTCCCAAACCAAATGTTAGTTAAAATACAAAATTGCATAACCAAGCTGCAAGTTTTTCCCGCATTACGTACACACTTATTAAATATCCAAACTCAGCTATAAAAGTTCTACCGGAAGCTAGGGGCAGGGGAGAAAAACGCCAGACGTTCTGGGTACAAAATTATGAGAACATGCTTTCAGTTACACTTACTGATTTTGTGCTGTTTTTCAGAAAGTTGCTATATAAATGCTTAATGTGCACTTTTCCAAAATAAATTTTATGGGGAGGGGAAATCCGGCAAATAATGACATAATGGTATTGGGCCGCCAGCCCGCATCCACTTTAGGAGAAGCTCCGGATGAGAAACTAATATACAACAAATAGTGGGCTTTAATACTACAATTTATTTGAGGGGGTTTGTTTTGGCCGTCGTCGTCGCCGTCCTAAAATCGTAAGGTCTCTAATAACCTCTCCGCGCGATCGTTAAATCACTTGCCGTTAGATGCCTCTATATATACACCCTTTAGTTACTGCTTCGCCCTTTCAGAGAGATTACGACATGCAGTCTTGGTTCATTTATTTGTTTAAGAATAAGTTTCACTTTCACTTAATATATAGAGGATATTAGACGGTTGCGAAGAGATATGGATTTATGGATTTTATGTTCGAGTGGCAAAAACAATATCTCACGAGTGAGCGCAGCGAACGAGTGAGATATTGTTTTTGACACGAGAACATAAATCCATATCTTCTCGCAACCGTTTAATGTTATGTTTATTATATGGACTCAGAGTGACAAAAATACACACAAAGACGACATGTAAATAAGCACGCGAAAGACCAGTATAAAAGCGATATTTTTTAAAATTATAGTGCAAACATAAAACTAGAATAAAATTTACTTATCTCAAGATGTCTTTTAAATGTTTTCGTTTTATTTCCAACGTTAACTTCGTTTTAAATACGAACCAAAGATCATTTGTATTTTTAAAACAGCAACAATGAAAATGGCGGGAAATTTTCGAACTTCGTATGTCACTAGCAGGGGTGAAATACGGAAAATACGCGCACCTGGCCCCGGACGTAGTGACGTATGAGTTCTACGAGTGTTTTAGTTTCCAGTAAAACACCATTGTCCATATAATAAATGCACTTACTACTTGTTTCGTCGGTTTTAATATAGCCTAATAGCTCAAAGCAACAAGAAAGAAATTCGTTTTTTACATCAAAACGTTTTTGCATACCCAACCATGCATGTATTAAAGTTGATTGTTTATAGATTCTAATTTCGTACCTTGTCTCTCTATGGCACATGAGAGCAATATAAATGTATAGTAGTACACTCATAGGCGTACGGGATTCATATATCTATTGGAGGAGCTGTGGTCTATATTGCCCGAAAATATTTGGGCCCCTTTCTTGACTTTTCTTTTTGGGGATTTTACCCCCCACCCCCCACCCCCCGACTTCAACGAGTTAAGATTGTAATGATTTTACGATATAAATATACTGTTAAGAAGGCAAACAAAAACTTGAAATTACACGTTGACCAACTTCAAGCGATGACGGGGATTATATATGAACCGCTTTTCGCGCGAAAAACATTACTCTCTAATAAATTGTATAATATACTTTCTTCTAATATTCTCTTGTGATAGATGTGTACATTTGGAGGAAATCGGTGCATATAGTTTTAGTTACCAAGATCAGTATGTTTACAGTGCTTTCATATACACTGATCAATAATAAAAAGATAATACCGGCGGATAAAAATTAGCAACACGTGCATGTCAATTTCAGTCGGCACATGCGTCAAGACTTTTGCTCTCGTTTTTAAAAATGCACAATATTTTGTTTGTTTCAAGTGATCAGCATAGATTTTAGTTTAGGTTTATGCCTAGGCAGGAAATAATAAAATATGTAAGTTTCAAGAAGTTAGAATAAAAGCGCGAGATGAACTGCGAGATATAAAAAAGCTCAAAAATCACTTGCGTAATTAACGTTTTAACTTGTTTTCGAACGAGTCCGAAAATAATTGCGAAAAAATTTTTAAAACTGACTACAATTCCAAAGTCAACGTTTTTTGTTCATTTTATGAATGACTTCTTCCACACAGAAAGTTTGAAGGAAATCTGCAATCTTAAGAAATTCGAGTGGTCGGTTTTTACACGGACTGCCTCTTAATATGTCAACATATTGTGGGTCGTGGACTGTTAGACATCACATGAATCATACATAACTGCCCGCAATTATAAGTAAACCGGTGATCAGAGTTTTCTCAATGAGAGTAAACCGGTTGATATGCGATTCGATTGGCTAAACGGTTGCGCTTCGGCGGATGTAAACTGGTCATAAACCGGTGAGTCGAGCAGTATTTAGAGAAAACTGGGTGTGAAAGTTTACAGAACTTGAGGACGCACAAAATATGTTTATAGACTTTATATTTTGCGTGAGTGAATCATTGCGTTGGCGATATCAGGAAATGATTGTGACGAACCTTTCGTGCATTTACATCTCGATAAGGATTTACATGGATATCTTGTTCATTTTTATTAACGTAAGGTTTGTTCAAAAAAGTATATAGTTGTACTTGTTCTACTTATAGTGTATAATAAACATTGATCCGTCAATAAGCGAAGGGGTAATGTAGCTACCCTTATATGAATCATGATAGCACGAAATATGTACTGTAGCTATATTATTTTGCGTGACGGAATGATTGCGTGCCAGATAGACTAGAGAATCAGGAAATGGTTATGCATGCAGCTGTCATTCACTTCCAATTTGCCCTCTAAGTCATTGTTAAAGTTGGTTTGATAGCGTATAGAGTTGAAATTACAACTATGTTTATATTAAAGCTATATCTACTTGTTCTACGTATAATAAATGCCGATCTGTCAGCAAGCACGACTTATATGATTGCATCATGACATACTATCGGTGTGTGGCTACACCAGTGCATATCTGAGTTATTCTTCATTCAAGTCCCGATACCGAATCAAATACTTTAGTGGCAGAGCTTTGTATTATTCGAATACAACGGCCAGCTATTCTGCATCGTCAGAATTTTTTTATATTTCTGGTGATATTGAGAAAAATGCCGGCCCTAATGTATCCAGGAGTGAAGACCAAGAGTCAAGTAACACTTCTCGCAAACGACCAGCCAGTTAAATGTCAACAGAGGAATCCAACCCCTACGATATTGGAATATTTCGATTTCCAAACGCTAAGCACTTATCCAATGAGCAGAAGTACGACCTTATTTTAAAGTGTTGGCATCTTGAACCATCATACAATTTCCCTAGAACTGCCGAAGGTAGAATACGAGATCGTTCAGGTACAAGTGGTTACGTGCATATCCTTGGTTGCGCTATAGCCCTATGTATGACAGCGCGTTTTGCTTGCCTTGTGTTTTATTTGGAAATGATACAGCGTTTGAAAGGTTAGATAAACTCTTTAAAAGCCCTCTTAAACTGTGGACAAGTGCTGCAATCCTGCAAGTAAGTTTTCTGCTCACAAGAAAATATCTCAGAAACATAAAAACAGCGTTACTGACTTTCAACTGTTCAGGGCTTCGATGCAGAACAGGAGAAAAGATATAGACCAAATTCTATCCCCCGAACTAGAAAAAAGAATAACAGAAAACCGAGAAAGGCTATCCCCTATCATAAAATGCATTCTTTACTGCGGAAAAACTAATCAGGCACTCAGGTGTCATAGGGATGATTCAACGCAGGATAGCGAACAGCAAGGCAATTTCAAAGACCTTATAGAGTTTAGAATAGAATCTGGGGATGTTAAATTAAAAGAGCATTTGGAAACAGCCCAAAAAAACTGACATAATCTTTCCAAAACAACACAAAATCAATTAATTAGTGCCACTTCTAAGTTTATTTGTGATACTATTTTGACAAATATTAACAATGGCTCTAGATATTACAGTATAATGGCAGATGAAGCGACTGACATCTTGAAAAAAGAGCAACTCCCAAGAGTTGTGAGATATGTTGATAACAGTAAAATCATTAGGGAGTCATTTTTGGGATTTTGTCATCTTTCTAATGGTAGTACAGGGGTTGCTATTAAAAATGAAATATTGAAAGAAATTAAAGATTTTGGTTTACATATTAAGCTGTGCAGAGGTCAAGGTTATGATGGTGCAGGTGCGGTAGCTGGTATTTATAATCATGGAACAGCTGCTTTGATCAGATCAGAGTATAATAAAGCTATTTTTGTACATTGTTCAAATCATAGACTAAATTTGTGTGTTGCTGCATCTTGTTCAATTCAAATTGTGCGAGAAATGATGGATAATTGCAAGTCTATTGCCGATTTCTTTAACCTATCACCAAAACGACAAGAGTATCTAATTGAAAATATTAAGTCATACTTGCCCGACTCGACAATGAATCATTTTGTTTTCAAAGATGTATGTAGAACAAGGTGGATTGAATGAATAGATGGGCTAGAAAGAACATTAATTGGAACTTTATGTACCAATTATGAAAACCGTTGAAGGAATCTGGAAGAATGTAAGAACACCAAATTCACAGAAATTGAATCCCAAAACCATTACGTTAGCTGCAGGATTACACAAGAAGTTAATGGGATTTTAGTTCATTATCGCATTAAAAGTTGTAAGCAAAATAATTGGTTTTACACGCAAGACAACAGTTATATTACAAAAAACTGAAATGGATCTCACTGGTGTGAAATCGGAAATTGATTCTGTGCTTGAAAAATGTTCTACATTTAGATCAAACATTAATACGGAGCATTATAGGATATAAGACTATTATAGGATAAATTTGACAGAAAACGTTTTGGCACATTTGATCACATCCTTAAATGAAAAATTTGATGAATCAACTTTGATAACCTATGAATGCATTTCCATCATTCCGAATATTTTGGTTAATCTAGTTCAAAATAATTTGCCTTGGAAAAATAATTGGAAAACTTCATTGATTTCTATAAGGCTCACCTGCCAAATATTGAAGGACTTCATGCCGAGTTAAACATGTGGGAGACAAGGTGGGTGAAAGAATCGAGAGAAATGACACAAACTGTACCAAAAAGAATATCTGACACTCTGTTAAGTTCAGATGAAGATTTTTATCCAAATATAAATACAATTCTGAATATTTTAGCTGTCTTTCTAGCCACAACATGCACATGTGAATTGAAAGGTCTATTTCTGCTTTAAGAAGACTAAAAACGTGGTTAAGATTGACAATGACAAATGAAAGATTATCGTTAGCATTGATGCATGTTTACAGGCACATGAAATTCGATGTAGAAGCTATTATAGATAATTTTGCCCATGCTCATCCGAGAAGAATGCGCTTCCTAAACATGGTTTCATCCAATGAATAGTGCTTTGAACTAGCAAAAAAATATGTTTCAGTACAAACTATAGTAAACTGATGTTGTCTCTTCCATATAGGCTATTGTTATTTATATCATTAATTGTTATTTGTACTTCTTTGGGACATTTAAATATTACAATAATGTCAATATTGATCAATTTGTGTGAATCCTATATTTTTATGGCTATTTGCAATTCGATTTCCAAAAAGCGCATTTCAGAAATAATGCATGCTTACATGTTAAATTCATTGTTTGAGTTGTGTGTTTGTCAAAAATTCTCTTAGAAACATGTTTTTTCTAATCATTAAATTACTCAAAAGAGTGATGCTGGAAATGCTGTTTTAGAGCATCAAATTTTGAAAATTTTCCAGGGAAGCATGCCCCCGGACTCCCCTAGCGGTTGTGTGGTTTTAGTAAACCTGTCAGCGAAAATGCTGAAATCCGCCCGTCAGAGTTTGTTTTGTCAAATAATTGTGGTAGTGTAATGTACTCAGGTGAATGGGGTGTTTATTCACCTGAGTACATTACACCAACACAGCAGATTTCATGATTATTATAGATTACACTGATATCGAAGGAACTAGACTCAGTTCCGAAACATCGCATACTCGAACCGACCTGACCGCGTAGCTCAGGTGGAAGAGCATTGGGCTTGTATTCCAAAGGTCATAGGTTCGAATCCCGCCGTGGCCAGGCATATTTTCCAAGCCTGCCCAGTGTGGATATACACTCAGAGTAACATCACACAAACAACAAACAATTGTGGTAGTTTGTTGATGTATAAATTGAATAATATTGGACATAATATGCAACCTTGGCGAACTCCTTTACTGTAAGAAAAGAACGAGGTTCTTTGATCTCCAATTTTCACTGCACATTTTGTATTCATGTACAGGTTTTTAATTAGATCATAGAATCTCCCTCCAATTTTGTTTTCTAATAGTTTTAAGAGAAGGCCATCATGCCAATTAATAGAATCAAAAGCTTTTTTGAAATCTACAAAGCAAGCGTATATATTTTTATTTTTTATGTTGTTTCACATATTTATCATGTAGTGTTTTAATGTTAGTATGTGGTCAACTGTTCTGTTACCTGGTATGAAGCCTATTTGTGAGGGGTGTATAATATTTTCTTGTTTTGTGTAGTTCATCAGTCTATTATTAAGAATTGAACAGAAAAATTTCCCTAGAGAGAGCTGGAAATACAAATTCCCCTGTAATTATTTGGATCTTGTTTGTCTTCTGATTTGAGAATTGGGGTAATGAGACCTTCACACCATGATTGGGGAAAAATGCCTGTGTTGATGATTTTGTTGAACAGTTTAATAAACCCTTCTGAAAGGATGTCTGTACTACATTTTGTCATTTTGCTACTTATTTTGTCTGAATATACAGCTTTTCTCAGTTTTAATTTCAATGCAGTGTTGCAAATTTCATATTCGGTGATATCTGTGTCAAGTGTATTATATTCTTCTTTAGATTTTTCCTTATCTTTTAGAATTTTGATAATTTCTTCATGGTCTTGATTCATTTGATGTTTGCTATGTAGTTTTGAGAGATGATTGTACCATTCATCACCTGTTGGACTGCTGTGGTTACTATCAGTATTTTTTATTTCAGCTGATATATTTTGTAGAGTTTTCCAAAAGGAGTTTGGGTTGTTTTCTGCAGTTCTTTCTAATTCAATTAACTTATCATTTTGAAATTGGTTTTTCTTAATTTCTAAGGTTTCTTGGTAAATTGTTAGAGCAGTGTGGTATTCATTTCTTATATTTATATTTGTTGGGTCCCTGTGTTTCTTATTTGCAAGTTTACAGACTGCATGCCTTTTGAATTTACGTTCTTTATCAAACCATTTTTTATTTTGTACATTTGTTATTTTTCTTCTAGATTTCTTTCTTTTGATTCTTAGTGACTTTTGAGGTGCATTGATTAGGATATTGATGAATTCAGTCATGCAGTTATTAATCCCCTCCTGGTCATTATTAAATGTGCTTTGCATAAAGGTTTGTAGTTTTTTTTAAATTTCAGTTGATTTTAAACTTTGTCGAAATATATCTGTTGAGTTCTCTGACCATTCAAATTGAAGTGGCAGTTTGTGTAAAGGAGTTTGTTCAGGAAGGTTGTTTTCATTTTTCAGTGTTGGTTTATGAATATCAATCCATGTAATTATTTGGCTGTGATCTGATAAATATGTTGGTTGTTTCACAACAGAATAATTAACATTTTGATCAAGAGATCACATATTATATAATCTATGGTACTTATACCATTTTTTCCATGAAATGTGGGTCTACCTAGGGAGTCTCCTTTGGTTCTTCGATTTAGAATTCTTAGGTCAGTGTTTTTGCATATGTTAATTAGTTGTCTACCATGATTGTTAATGGTGGTATAAAAGTTTTGTCTGATTTTTGGATGTAAACTGATATCACTTACATCATTAATAAAGTTATTTCCATCTTTGGGAACATAATCTTCAAGTGTGTTAGTTCTTCCATTAAAATCTCCAGAATCATTGTATTTCCTTTTGAGTTAAAATATGTTATATCATTTTCTAATTCACCAAAAATCTCTTTATCAAAATAAGTTGATTTTTCTGGTGGTATATATACGCATGTGAATAAATCTGTATTTGTGCTTAATAGAATCTTTGAAATTTTGCACCATAGGAAATTTTTTGATTTTTTTGCTATCGAGACATGTTTTTGATATTCGGATTTGTATACTAAAGTGATACCACCTGATATACGACATGATTTATCAGTTTGTGGTATTGGAATGTCAGAGACAAAAGCCTTAAAACCTGGAACATGATCAACATTTTCATTTGACCATGTTTCGAAATAGGAAATCTAATTTATTAATATTGTTTATAAAATCTAGGTTTTTGGTTTTATCGCCTAGTGTTTTGTGTTGAAGACCATGGATATTCCATGTACTAAGTGATAAATTACGCATTATTATCCCTTACAAAACCAAATTATATGGGACATATATGGACCAACTATGGGATTGATATGGTTCAACCTATGGGCCATATATGGGAGGTATATGACTTTGGTATGGTATGGTTGCCTTCATAGCATACCCATATCATGTTTTTGATATGGGTTTGATACGTATTTGGTACAAATCCATACATATCCCATATGACTTACTATGGGAAATACATGGGTTCCTTATATCATTTCATAACAACTTTGCTATGGGTAAGATAGGATTCTATATGGGAATGATCTGGGAACATGATATGGAATTCATATGGTTCTTGATGTATAAACTATGGGAGTGGTATGGGTGCAACAATTATCATATTATATTGGGAATGGTATGGGCACTTGTTTTTATCCCATACCAAACCCATGTTAACATCTAACATCCAAATGCTAGATGCTAACACATGTGGGTTTGGTATGGGATGAAAACAAGTGGCCATACCATTCCAAATATACTTGCTACAGGTCAAAAAATTGTACTGGTGGCATAAATAGTTTTATTAACATGAAAAAATCTTCAAAAACACAATACACAAATAAATAACATAGTTAATAAATAAACAAATTACAAAATTGCTAACTAATTTACTATTTCTTAATGAACTTGCAAAGTTTGTCTAACTAAATTACCATGGTATAACTATATATACAAACATGCAATAATGTCAATTGCTAAGTGCTTATTGATCTATATAAATGTATCGGTATCTATAATGTCCTCAGTCCTCTCAACTTGTGGGCTTGATTACAGACTATTCAAACTCTTTGTGGACGCCTGGCTTCTACACTTTTCATGTTTATTTTTTGTATCACCTGACTTGGTGTAGGGCCTTCATTAGAAAATCTTGCAGAGCAATATGCCAACTGGTGGCAATTCTAGAACATGCCAGATCCTTCTACAACTTCTATCATCTACAGGACGAAATAATTCAAACGTCAAGATTTGTACCCTATATTTATACCCTATATTCTGCAGCCAAATTTCCATCAAGCATTTTTGCACCAAATTTATTATTTTACTCTGTCTAACGGAAGACAACTTTACTCTGTCAAATGCCAAATCATTATGTTTTACTTTTTGTCTAATGACAAACAATTTTATGTGACAAACAATTTTAATGGCATATTAATGGAATAAATATTTAATAAACTAACAAAGTACTAAAAGTAGGGCACATTGCTTCTAAATATGCAAACACAGCAGCTTTTGCAGTTAATTATTAACCTTTCAATAACCAACACTCATCTTGATGAGTAAAATCATCTGATAATTAACTATCAAAGTACTGAAAGTGGGGAGTGTTAGGATAAATTGCATCTAAATGTGTTAACAACAAACAATGCAAAATAGTCTGGTGTTAGACAGGCCAAAATATTGAACTTTGAAATAGAGCAGATTAGTGTGAATTGGGTCTTAATGAGTTTACACATAACACAGGGGGACAGCAAAATAACCAATCAAAGTTGTCCACTCTCTTTCACAAGTAAAATATTTGATCTGGTGTTAGGCAAGGTAAAATAAAAAAAGTACTGAAAGTTGAGCATATTCATCCTGACGAGTTAGGCCTGGTTTATACAGCGTGCTATGAGCGCACCGAACCAATTTTTAAATTAGCACGGCCAAGCACGCTAATAGCACGCATTCTGATTTATACGTAACCCTGACGTAACTAATCTGAGCGAGCCAATTTTTAAAGTTGAGATAAAGAGTCTGGGTACGAGCGTAACATTAATACAATATGGCGTCTCATGCAAGATCAAAGTTTAGAAATGTTCTGATTTTTAAAACATTAAAAGCAAACTGGAAAAGAAGACAGAAATTGCAAAATATGCTAGCCATGCTTTTAATGCGGCAACAAACGTTTATAACAGTTTTAGCGCTAATATCTTTGGTTTTGTATTCATCGACGAAGATTGCTACAAGGATGCCGAGGATACGTTCTTGTAGACGAAAGCTTAGAAGGATAGGTTGGTGGGAGTCAGTTTGGAATACATATTCAGATAAACGTTTTAAGAAAACATTTAGAATATCCAAAGCGACATTCAGTTACATTCTGGACAGAATAAAAGCGGATATTCAACGTAAACAGCCTAGACGATGGGGGTTTGTGGAGGAACCAATTTCTCCTGCATGCAGATTGGGAATAGCATTATACAGGCTTGGCCGTGGAGACTATTATTACACGATCTCTGAAATGACTGGCTTTGGTGTAGCGACAGTATGTAACATAACAATAGATGTTTCACAGGCGATTGTCAAAAACCTTTGGAAAGAAGCTGTTTCTAATAAATTCCCATCAACTTTGGAACATTTTAAGGAATGTGCGCTGGATATGGAAGAAATGTGGCAATTTTCTGCGTTAGATGGTTGCCATATCCCAATAAAAATGCCAAGAGGTGGGGCAAATTCTGCTAAAGAATACCACAATTTCAAAAATTTTTATTCCATCGTACTGATGGGAATGGTTAATGCCAAGATGCAATTCATTTGGGCAAGTGTTGGCTGCCCTGGAAGCAATCACGACTCTATCATATTCAGATCAACTAGCCTTTATTCAAAAATGATGGAAAACTATATTTTACCAACATTTACAAAACTTATTAAAGGCGTGAAAGTTCCTTTCATGATTCTAGCTGATTCAGCCTTTCCACACTTGCCCTGGATTCAAAAGCCATACACAAATGCTGTTTTATCGGAAAAACAACGTTATTTTAATAATAGGCTAAGCCGGGCAAGGATGGTCGTAGAAAGTGCGTATGGGATGCTCAAGTCAAGATGGCGAGTGCTGCACAGAAAATGTGACAGCAACAATGAGACAATGAAAGTAAAAACTCTGGCATGTATTGTTTTACACAATATATGCATCGACTATGGCGAAAATATCTCAACAAATTTAGACTTGACAGTCAATCCAGAAAACCCTTCCCAAAAAAGACCAAGAGATGCCATCAGGGACCTATTACATATGACAAGGTCACGTCCAATAAGAAGTACAACGAAATCAGCTACACAAATTAGAAATGCTTTAACTGAAAAATTTTGGAGAGAACATGAAACTGGTGTTGTTATTTAGTTGTGTGACTATAGAAATATTTATATTGCTATTTTTATTATTAATGAATAATGGCAACATTTAGATATGACTTGACTGGTTTTATACAAATGTCATCATGGCATACGAAAATATCTGCTGCAGCAATGCACTTTGCCAGTTCCTGGAGTAATTCGAAATGTGACATTTTTACACATGTTTATCCGGTATACATAAGCCTGAATGAGAGTCGTAAAAACAGCCAATTCAAGAAAGGTTGTTCATTGCAAACCTTAACCCATTGAGCGGCAGCACTCTCCTTGGCTTAGGAAACTCATCTGGCAGTAAACAGAGTAAAATAATATGGCGTTACGCAGAGTAAAATTATAAAGTAAGGCGCATCTGGGCACATTTAAGAATTAAACTGTAAACCTTAACTCTAGGAGAGCACAAGTTTCAAGCTTAACAGTTGAATATTGCAGTTATTTGTGAATGAATTGTTCTCTCAAGGAAATATTTACCATGCATGTCTCTAAGAAATGGGCCCCATATATGATGCAATATCTAAAGTGATTAAATGATGTTTCCATTATGCTTTGCACACTTACAGTTTAACCCATTGAGTGGCAATGCACCCTGATGCACCCTACTTTAGTATTTTACTCTGTCTAACGCCAGACGATTTTACTCGTCAAGGGAAAGCGCTGGCGCTTAATGGGTTAAGGTTTAGAGTTTAAGGTTTGCAAAGCATAACCTTTTTTCTAATTAGCTATACACAAAGTTCTCATTATACCATGTGGATGGGCCTTTGTTTTAATATTTTAATTAAAGGCAAATAAAGTTAGAATTATTTCATTTTTATTATGTACATATCTGGCTTGCCATTGTAACTGGTTATGCTATGCTACACGAGTAAAAATTGAGAAAATCAACAACCTGTTCCAGGTTGATATCAACAGGTGTGAACAAGGTTGTGCGGCCCACTATGAACAGTATTGTCAACCTGTTGTTACAGCATTGTTCAACTGTAACAACTTGAAACACCATGGTTGACAACTTGTTCATAGTTGGCCGCACAACATTGTTCACACCTGTCGATAACAACTTGGAAGAACCTGTGCGTTTTTAGTTTAGCTGTGTAATAGACTTACATCTAAATAGGTTAAAGATATACATGTCTAAAGGTTTGAATAATGCAAATCGTTAAACATTTGCATATAGCACGACTTGCTGAGCACTGTGGGCCTGTGGCAATCTTCACCACCAGTTACTAGGGTTGTTTAATTGAATTAACGGTATTAAATATTAATATATATGCCAAAAGATCTAAATTGAATTAAGTGCCCAAGGTGCAGCAGCATTGGCTGTATTAAAATCTTGGGCAAGTGCAGAATAAAACAAATGCTCTTTTGGAATAATTTGGAATTCTTTTTTAAAATACTGTATATATTATAATTTCAACTTAACCATAATTAATGTGAAAACACCATAGCAAATACAATAACAATAACATGAAAACTACTTAAGTAATAGTACCTGCATAACACATTGGCTGCATTGTCACTGAAATTTTGGGCATTCTTTGGATTAAAATACCATTGCATACCCAACAAATAAACCATTTATATTATTTCAACTTAACCATAATTAATCTGAAAAACACCATGCCAAACACAACAACAATAACACAAAACCTACTTAACAGTACTTGCACAAAGTGTTGTCAACATCATAGTTCAAAATAATCTGTTGAGTGATTCTGTGCAAGTCCACCAGATTGCTGGGAATATTTAGTTTGAGGATTTGATGGTGATCCAAATGGAATGTTGGAAGGAATGTTAGCACCAACCGGATTAATGGGAAATGTATTGCAATGTTGTTGGCCACTGGGTGTATAATGGCCAATTGGTAGTGCAACTGGAGGGGGGGTGCTTACAGGAACATACGGTTGCCAGGCTTGTGAAAGGGAACATGCAGGTGCATCAAAATTACCTTGTACCTGGGCTTGGGATGATGGAATCAACAACTTTAAGATTTCTAACTCATGTGCTCGAGCACGTGCATTCTCCTTTTCCATGAATTCCAAAAACGAAGAGGTTTGTTGATTTTCTACAAGAGACTTCACACTTTCAAGAACTTCAGTTGTCTTTTCTACCAACTTGTTCTCAGATTCGAATACATTTATTCCACTCACTTTATCTGAAGTTGATGGACCAGCACTTGGTTCCATAGCCTGTTCTGGCTGACAACTTTCACGCGACTTTATCAAAGGGAATAACATATCAAACCAGTTTGAATAATCTTTTTCATCTTTGTAGTTACTGATTCCAGTAGCTGTGTTGAAAACCATATTTGCCTTTTTGCATTCACTCACTAGTTTCTTAAATTTATTTCGCATCTGTGGGATTGATTTCTCAAAAACAGAACCTCTGTTTTCAGCTCGTCTCTTCAATTCCTTCTGGATGGTTTCATAATTAGACTTGTTGGCTTCCCCCATAGTATTTTGAAAAATCAGCTTCCGTTGATGGTTTTCGTCATTAATTATAATGTCCACAAAATCGTCCAGATCTTCAGATTCCCATTGACATTTTTTACCTCTTTTCCTCTTCATTCGCATTGCTGCAGAATTAAGAATTTTGCTCGCAACATCAGTATCACTATCATCTCCATCAGAATCAGGCTTCCAGTCGCTATCGTAACTGTTCTGTTCTACAGAGTTCACAGGTGAAACGCTGTGCCTCCCAGTTTCTTTAAATGTTCCCCGAGTAGTTTGATCGACTACATCAGGTGTTTTGCAATTTCTACAATACGATACGCTTTCGAATTCCGTCTGCAAATGCTCCTCTGCCGGTGTGCTGCATTCTAAACTTCTGTTGCATACTGGTTTCTCACAATTTACGCTGGAATACTTAGTATTTTCGCCACAATTTGAGCACAGTTTTGTCTTTTTGTCCGCCATATTTAAAATGCACTGTTGCATTTCGGGAAAAATGAAATATTTTTACATTATAATAAATTATAGGCAATTATATGATATGGTTCGCTCAGAATGGTTCGCTGATAGCACTGTGGTTTAAATCAAAGGCGTGCTTAACCGTGCTACGAGCGTTCGGCACGCCTCCGACGAGCGAACTGCACGGTCAGGAGCGAACCTAATTCAGAGAGTGAACCAATTTGATTTAGACAGCGTGCTATGAGCGAACTTATTAGTGAAGTAATTGGTTCGGTGCGCTCATAGCACGCTGTATAAACCAGGCCTTAGCATGAAATGTATAGTAGAGAGTCTTGTTAACTTGAATATACCATCACATAGTTAAATGTTAATTTCATAAAAAAAATATGGAGAATTTTCCTGGCATTACACTAAGGCTAACATATTTTAATTCATATTGACTGGTGCAATTACACCTCTCCCAATGAAATATCAATTTTAATTTGAACAATAACATATGAATAAATATCAGAATCTTAGGAAGGTTGCTGCTGATTTGAGCAAGTAGATAAATTTTCAAACTATATGTAATATGAGCATACAGTACTATATAGTCTATATGTATAGGCATGCTTATTAAATGTCTGCAATTAATCTTGCATATACAGTTAGCATATACAAATGTATTAACCAATAAACATTGATAAGTCGAATTCAAATATAAAACTCTTATAGAAGCATTTATTGACGTATAAATGACAGATAAATATATTTTATATCAGCATTCTAATCCATTATTGTCGCAGCAAATTCAAATTTTAAACCGATCGAAACACATGCTCGAATTTCACGAATGAAGATTGGACTAGGTATTCCTTTATAATTTGCTTTATTATAAAAAAAATATATACATATGCTCACCTGAACATTATACAAACATCGCTGATGTATTACTAGTGAAAATCCAGTTGAATCTCATCAAAAATAGTTCTATTTTGAACATATAAAGCATTCACAAACAAAAAATTTATAAAATATCGGAGGTGTGATGACCTATCCCAAGATGCTTTGTGTGCGTGGCAAAAAAACTAGACACCAGTCTGTTGGTCGCGCACATTGCGGTAATTATTCATTTAATTAATGTTAGAATAAATTTATTTTCCAATCCTATAGGAATTCCTATAGGAATTTTTATTTCCTATATATGTATATATATAGGAATTTCGTTTTCCTAAAGGAATTTTTTCACCATTTTCAAATCTTATATAAATTCTTATAGGAATTTTCAAATCCTATAGGAAGTTCATTTCTTATAGGAATTCCTATAGGAAATTTTCGTAAGCGTTGGCATAGCATTGCCATAGAAATCATATGTATGGATTCTCTATGGGAGGCCAGAACCACACCAAGTTCAGACTACCATATAATTCCCATAGATATGGGAAGTATATGGCACAACCAAGTATGGACTACCATATAATTCCCATATATGGGAATTATATGGGACAACCAAGTGTGGACTACCATATAATTCCCATAGGTACGGGAAGTATATGGGACAACCAAGTGTGGACTACCATATAATTCCCATAGGTATGGGAAGTATATGGGACAACCAAGTGTGGACTACCATATAATTCCCATAGAATTGGTTATATGTAAAAGCATGCCAATGATATGGATTACCTATGGACCAAGTAACCCCACAGATTTCCCATAGGATTAATAGCAATGTGTTTGTTTCCATAGCTTTTCCATATCTCAATATTTAACAAATTTAGACACCATACCAATCCCACATGATATCTTTACTGTCCCATATCATGCCCACATATGGGTCATATATGGCCCAAACTTTGCCATATCTTTCCCATACTTTTGCTTTGGTATATGTATCAAAGGTTATCCAAAAGGGTAGAGAGTATCCTAAAGCTATTTCAAATTCCTGATATAGGATCAAGAGTAGTGTTATTATAATTATAGAACATGTTTTAACCATATAAGTTAAATCCATTTTTCATTTAAGCTATAATGATATTTAAAGCGGAATGGTAATATGAAATAAGATTCTAATATGTTAAATATATTTTTGTTGACATACCTAAACAAGGTTCTGGATAAGTTGGACCATTTCCATCAAAATTGGCTTGAATTTTTCAATGTTGTTGTTGTTTATGGGGTGGTTGAAAGGGTAACTTGGTGGAAATTGGGGTGAAAACTGGGTTGGATTATTGGGTCCAGGTGGCAAAGTGTAGCGTTGCCAGTTTGGGTTAGTGTAGTTCATTCGGGATGGTGATTGGTGCTTGTTAAAGTATGCACGTTTTAAATTGTGTGCAAACAGTTTGACGCCTACTTCATTCAGGTGTTTTCTGTCCTTTAAGTGTGTGATGTGATGGATATTGCTGTGTTCCACCACTGTGATGTTCCTGTTGCGTTTATAAGTGTTTTTAATCTGAATTCAGAATTCTGCTTGTGGGATATTTCGTTTGGACTAGGTTTGTAACTTCTTGTAGCTTAGAGGTGATTTCGATGTTGGAGGAAGTTGCTTCTAAGACATTTGTTCCACAGTGAAGTATCAACATTGGGGGGCTGTCTGTGGAGTTGTTGATGATTTTTTCAGCTTGAGGAAGGGTTGGACATCTTATGTATTTTACATTACTGTCTGGACATAGCAGTTTGGTATTTATGTCGGCCGTTGCTGTCGCAGAGGATGATTGTGTCTGTATCATTTGAAGTGTTGTTTCTAATTCCATTTGGTTGTTGGATACCACTAGTGGGTTCATCATTGGCTGTTTGATCTTTCTTGGTTTTAATTTGTTGGTTTTCATTAGTGGGCTTATCTTGTTTTGTTAGATTCTCAAATTTATTTGCTGTAGGAATGTTGTAGGTTTCCATAATTGAGTTGGTATCATCAGTCAGGTCAACTTCTTCTTTTGGCTCATCAGTTGTTTTGTTGGTGTTGGTGTTGACTGGTGGTTTGGTTGGTTGCAGTGAGTCGTTACGTAGGGTTGAAATTTGGCAAAGTAGCTTGGTGTTCTTGTCTGCTAGAATTTTGTATTTCTCTTGTAGATTCTTGAATTTAGTTTCCATCTCCATTTGTTGTATGGTGAGGTCACTAAAAGATTGCTGGCTTTTAGTTTTGGTTTGGTTGAGGTCATTTCTAAGGATTTCAATTTCCTGGTCTTTCTTTGTTAGTGTTTCTGTGAAATTTTGTATCTCTTTCTTTGTGCTTTGGGCAAATTCGACAAAGTTGGCTTCAAGCGTTGAGAGGCTCGATTTCATGGCCAGTAGAGATTTCTCCCCTGTTGGTGTGACTTCTGGGCTTTTCTGATCTTTTGTCGATGAGGAATTGCATGGATGCTTTTGGAATACGGCGTCAAAGAACTGAGTTGTATTGTTTGTGGCGTCCATCTTGTCAAGGTCAGAACAGTTTATAAGTTCGATTAATAGGGCAAATTCATGTTTTTCCCATTCTTTGATAGAATGACCTTCGATCTTTATTTGTCCAGTGTTGATGGTTATCGTGATTGTTATAATGTTCTCCATTGAGGCTTTTGATGTTAAGGATAGCACAACCTTCTCACATTTAGATTTTTCATTTATGTTGTCGGTTTCTTCGTATCGTGTCGTGACTCGGTTGTTGCCTTCGAGGTCGTAAATATATCATCATTTCAGTACATCGATCCAAATGGGTAGTCTCTTGTCAGATGTTGAGAACATAACAAGATTGGTATTCTTGTAGATTGTGTGATCCAACTCTCCAAATGGAACTTTTTTCTCGTTTGTATTCTTGAAGCTGTTGATTTCATATCAGCAAGATGGCGTCGGATCAGTGTTCATTGGTTTGTTGTTGACATATTTTCGTTACATTATCCTTGGAATATGTAATTTCGTTGATTTCATTACAAATACCTATGAGAGATTCGGAAATCCGCACAATCTCAAGAGGTATTTGTTCCTTCATTTCGCACTCATTTTCCATCTCATTTTCCATCTTCTCATTGTCGATAAAATGAGTGACGACAGTCAAAAGGATGTGAAGAACACAAGTAAGCCTAAAAAAGGACATGTCAGTAACAGATTTTTAAGGCGTCACCATTTACTTTTAAATGGAAAAGAGAGACAAGTGATTTAATTTATATATATATATATATATATATATATATATATATATATATATATATATATATATATATATATATATATATATATATATATATATATATATATATATATCTCTCTCTCTCTATATATATATATATATATATATATATATATATATATATATATATATATATATATATATATATATATATATATATATATATATATATATATATATATATATATATATATATATATATATATATATATATATATATATATATAATATATATATATAATATATATATGATATATATATATGATATATATATATGATATATATATAT